AGCACAGGATGAGCACGTCGGGCTTGTGAGACCTTTTGAGGTCTCTGCCTCCTATCACGCCAGGCGCAATAGAAATTGCACCTGGCGCGCTGGTCCCTGGTGCTCTCTGGTTATGCCACGCCAGGCGCGACCATGAGCACGTCGGGCGCGAATGTGATGAGTAATTATAGGTTGTTATGTGTTGAATTGTGCTGAAATTTGCTGATGGATGTGGTTATATGCTGAGCTGAGCTGTAGATGGTGCATATTACTGTGCTGTTAGATGATAATTGCTAAATTATGGAGTTAAGATGTAGTTGATGTAAATTACTGTGCTGTAAGTTGTTTAGTTGTGCTGTGTTGTGCTTTGAGCTGTGTTAGCTAGGTTGTGAGTTGTTTGGCTGTGTGTTTAATGCTGAGCTGTATGATGTTATTGTCGCTATGCGGTGCTGTTATTGCTGCTACGTAGTGCTGTTATTGCCACTATGTGGTGTTGTTATTGCCGCTATGCGGTACTGTTATTGTCACTATGTGGTGTTGTTATTGCCGCTATGCGGTGCTGTTATTGCTGCTATGCAATGTTGTTATTGCCACTATGTGGTGCTGTTAATGCTGTTATGCAGTGCTGTTATTGTCGCTATACGGTGCTGATATTGCTGAATGCTGTGATATATTATGGGCTGATGTCGTTAAGTTGGTTGATGTACTGGTAGCTGTAGCTGTTTACCATTCATATATTTATATATGTATGAATTTATTTTCACTAGCTTACCCTTTGTTGTTTCCATGTGGTTTGGACTGCAATGATCATACTATGTATAGGAGCAGAGCAGGGTTAGGTTAGTGAGCTGAGGAGGGTCTACAGCTGGCAGATGGAGTTTTAGTCTTTTGTTGTTTTTAGCTACTTAGTGTAGCATTGCTAGATGTATTTTGTACACTCTGACTCTAGCCAGATTTGGACCTTGTATATATATATATATATATATAGGTCGAGCTATATCGATTACAAACGGCCAATTCAAGTAAAGTACGAAGTCGAGAACTTAGTTCTTAATCGAGTATCAGAGGGTTGTAGTATTTAAAAGATAGTTAGTAGGCTAATCCCATAGGTGGCTTAGTTGAGCTAGCTAATGTCGTGGTTGGCCTAAACCCAACTGTCCTATGCTGACATAGTACTATACTCCCTTGTTTGAGTGACAAGGCCTGAGAAACCATTATCGTGTTATGGATATTTATCGAAATTTGTTGTTTACCTAGCAAGCCCAAAAAGGTTCTGTGTTGTCGGTTCTGTAGGACCTAGCCACTTACACTACTCACCTTGTGTTGTAGGAGATCTCCAAGTTGAAATGCGTGATGACGCATATGTGTTGATACAATGTTGATATGTGTTATATTGTTGAACTGATGTTAAGATGTGTAGTATATGTGAGACCCTTCTTTTTCCTTTTTTCCCCAAAACCCAACTCTCACTCTCTCCTCCTTGTTGCTGATTTCTTCATCTTGGTGGTGGTTGTGGTGAGCATAGGTGCTGAGTAGGTTTTGAGAAGCTTGCAGACGCTCGGATTTCCTTCTTCCTTCTCTGTTCACCATCCTTTCCAAGCTTTCTTCTTCTTTGTCTCTTCCCGGAGCTCGGAGTCGTTTAACCGAGGTAAGGGAAGCTAGTTCTTGGCTGTATTGTGTGGAAAATGAGTTTAGAAACTCATTTGTGGTCTAACGTTTGATGATCTTTGGCTGAGTTAGAAGAAATTTCGATTTCGGGTTTTCCTGGGTTGATGAAAATCTTGGGGTTTTTCTTGATTGTGGTTGCATGTGGGAAAAGCTGGGATTTTTGGGTTGTTTGATGAAAATGTGACGTTTGGGGCCGATTGCATGTGTTTGGAAAGCTGATTTGGTGCAGGTATTGGAGAAATTTTTGAAGTTTGAGGATTGCTTCTGGGTATCACGCCGGGGGCAGTTCTTCGCGCCGGGCGCGTGACCACCAGAGGGCTCCATTGGGCAAGCCCGCCGGGCGTAGTGGTGTATGCGCCGGGCGAGCTTGAGGGTGTGAGCCTCTAGATGGCCCACGCCGGGCGTGGTTGGACCGCGCTGGGCGCGATATCAGTATGTGACATGCTTTTGGGGCTTTCTGGTGTGGCGCCGGGCGTGACCATGTCTCGCCGGGCGTGGAGACTCCTTAGGAGTCTCTGCTAGAGGTGGCGCTGGGCGCAATTTATATTGCACCGGCGTGAGACCCTAGGGAGGTCTCTGCTTTCTTGCGCCGAGCACGGGATGAGCACGTCGGGCTTGTGAGACCTTTTGAGGTCTCTATCTCCTATCACGTCGGGCGCAATAGGAATTGCGTCGGGCGTGCTGGTCCCTGGTGCTCTCTGGTTGTGCCACGCCAGGCGCGACCATGAGCGTGCCGGGCGCGGATGTGATGAGTAATTATAAGTTGTTGTGTGTTGAATTGTGCTGAAATTTGCTTATGGATGTGGTTATATGCTGAGCTGAGCTGTAGATGGTGAATATTGTTGTGCTGTTAGATGATAATTGCTGAATTATGGTGTGGAGACGTAGTTGATGTAAATTGCTGTGCTGTAAGCTGTTTAGCTGTGCTGTACTGTGCTTTGAGCTGTGTTAGCTGGGCTGTGAGTTGTTTGGCTGTGCTGTTTAATGTTGAGCTGTATGATGTTATTGTCGCTATGCGGTGCTGTTATTGCTGCTATGCAGTGCTGTTATTGCCACTATGTGGTGCTGTTATTGCCGCTATGCGGTGCTGTTATTGCCACTATGTGGTGCTGTTATTGCCGCTATGCGGTGCTGTTATTGCCGCTATGCGGTGCTGTTATTGCCACTATGTGGTGTTGTTAATGCTGCTATGCAGTGCTGTTATTGTCGCTATGCGGTGCTAATATTGCTATGCAGTGCCGTTATTACCATTCATATATTTATATATGTATGTTAATTTCTTTTCACTAGTTTAGCCTTTGTTGTTTCCATGTGTTTTGGACTGTAATGATCATACTATGTATGAGAGCAGAGCAGAGTTAGGTTGGTGAGTTGAGGAGGGTCTGCAGCTAGCAGATGGAGTTTTAGTCTTTTGTTATTTTTAGCTACTTAGTGTAGCATTGCTGGATGTATTTTGTACACTCTGACTCTAGCCAGATTTGGACCTTGTATATATATATATATATTTGAAAAAAAAATTATTCATGAACATAATTCATACAATGTCTCAAAGTTAACAACTAAATATTAATATATATTTGTGGGATGTAAATATATATATATATATATATATATATTCTAAACACTATATGTATATACTTGTTCTTTTCTGTGTGGTATTCTGGTGTGCTGTGCTGTGTGTAGTGACCAGTCGGTTCGTTACAGTATATGTGTTGTTTGTTGCTTGTGTTGGATGTGAAATTGAAATTATGTGTTGATGTGTTACATGCTTAATTATATGAGTTGTTTATTTTATCTAGCTTACCCTTGCATGTTTCCATATGGTTTGGACTGCGATGATCATACGTTGTATGGGAGTAGGGCAGAGATAGGTTAGAGAGTAGTAGTGGAGCCATAGTTGGTGCCTGGACTCGGATTTTATTTTGTAGACTACCAGTTGTTGATAGATACTTATGTATATATTGTATATAGTTGCTAGACAAGCTACATATAATTGTACATATTCATGAGATGTAGATATGCGTATATTATATTACTATTTTAGTATATAGTGAGTGTGTCGTGCAGTGTGGTAATCATGGCGGGTCATTACCCCACAAAAAATACAAGTTACTCACTAGATGAGCTTTCTTGTCCTTTGTTAGTTTCTATACCTTCATTACAATTAAAGACAAGTATTTTTTGCTTAAAAATGAAAATATAGGTAAATCCAAATTACCTAAAGAATGTAAAATTGCTAATAATCTTGGCACTTTAAGCAGAGAGAATTTATTGACTATTACACTCTAACATACAAAATTAGAAATACTATTAAAAAAATTTCTACTAAAAAGTACTCTTTATTTTTAATAAATTATTAAAAATAATTTAACTCATCCAAATAATCTAAAAATTACTTATCCGCGAAACAAATTGTGACATATTAACTGCATCCTTATGGTTACCACAAACATGGAACTACTTTAACTGAAGAGTTTGAAAAAGTTGATAGCGAAATCAAATAACAAAAGAAATGACACTCTGCTGCTCATAGTAGTCACTATTTAATAACAATAAAATAACACAAAATCTTGATTATAATCTAAAGGGTAAAATATATTTTTACTTTGTAGTCTCTTAAAATATTTCAAGATTTAATTTTAGTTCCTATGAAAACAAAAAAGTTAATATTTGTAATCTATGATAAAAAAAAATCTCAATAAGAAGGAACAAATAGAGAGTTGTTGCTATTTAATGTAACTTTGAAGGATAGAGAGTTGTTTTTTCTTAATACATTTTTGTGTATCCTTTAATATTACTTGAAATTTTAAAAATTCTTTATTTTTATTTTAATAAAGAAACATTCTTTAATTCACTTTAAGTAAGTTTTGTGATAGCCTCTATATTTTTTGCTTGCAATTAAAATTTTTGTATATATAATTTTTTTAGTAACTATAGTATTAATACAAATCTTTTCTAAAATAATCTATTTAATGTCTAAAAGTCAAAATTTAAATTTATATAATTTAGTTAAAAAGACACAATCCACGATGTTAGATCAAATCCTTGCATAACTAAAGACATACACCAAATGTCCAAATCCTTGCATAACTAAAGAATACACAATAACATATTCGATTTATACATCATATTGCAGAGTGCCAACTTATTAACATATTGGAGGAAGTTTTATATTTTAGAGTTTCATATCCTGCCAAGATTAAAGGGAAAGAAAAAGAAAAGGAAAGAAAAAGACTAAAAATAACACTACTTATAATAATAATAATAAGTGATATAAATAAAACAGTAAAAAAGAGAAACATAGAATAGAAAAAGGCAACATGTCACACATCAGCACCATCATTACAATCATCACTAACCATCCCACACACTGAGCCTAAATTCCAAACAATTCCATTCCAACTTTACTTTGTTTTTCAACTCACCTTTTCCCTCCTCTTGCTTGCACACTCCTACACATCGTGTCTCCTCTCTCAAACCTCACACTTCACATACTCTATAAATATTTATATATGCTTATTTTTGTTCACATGATTAGCCAACAAAACACTTTTTTCCCCCAAACACCACTCATCTTCTCTAGTTTATGATATCTTCATTTCTCTCTAGTTGTTTCAAGGAAAGAAGAGCCAGCATAATTTGGGAACCACATTGAAGAAGGCAAAAGAAGGAGAAGAAGAACAAGATTGAAGATGGAAACAAGTGTAAATTACTATGTGCTACTTCTTGTACTTGGTCATTTCCTTTGTTCAGGTAATTTCCTTTTTCTTTCTTTGGCCTATCTATGTGTTTGTTCATTTGGCTCCTTCAATTCTATTTTGCTATGGATATATACCTAAGTTGCTTCTGTTTTAGGATAATGTTTCTCAATGCTCACTCTCTAAGTTTCTCATTTGAATGGCTTCCTTTTGTATTCTTTATCCTTTTTGCATATTATTTTCTGCTTTTCTCTTTTAGCCATAGATTCTTTGGACCACCTTTTAATTCTGTAAACCCAAAATGCATCTCCTGCACCAGAGTTTGGCATCTCAAATTGCTTTAGGCCTTTTTCTTTCCCCCTTTTGCTGTTGTTCAAGTTTAATAGATACACATGTTAGACCAATTGGGTGCAATTATCTTTATGTTGCACTATAGTGTACCATTTGAGCACTTTATTTTACCCATAATTTTTTTAAATAATAATAATTGTATATGGCATGCTTGGCTGAATTTCAACCAGTTCTTACAATGAATTATATAGAGTTGTATCCCACAAAGTAATTTAATAAGATAAATAAGACCATCTGCAATGGAGTTCCTTATAAGTAATCTCTGTGCTACATCAGTGTCATATCAGCTCTGGTCCATTTTATAGGTTGTTTAAATTTTAGTAGAGTTATTTCTACAAGCAATTCTGCTAAAATTTAAGCAACCCATAAAGTAGATCAGAGCTGATATAACACTGATGTGATATAGGAGGTTGCATATGCTCTAATATAACAACTGCAGTTTCACGTGTTATTGTTTTATCCAATATTTCTCCGGTTGGACCGTTTCCTGAAAAGATGCAGGGGACCAACCTTTTTGGCTCATGTCTCAATGCAAAGGATACCCTACTTGTCTCTAGTGGCCTTTCTAGATCCACTGTTATTAAACATGTTTGCTTTTGAATCAATCAAGAAGGGCTAAGGGCCTAATAATTAGTTTCAATGCAATTATGCAAAAATTTGAACACAAGGACAACTTTGATCGAATGCTATGGTAACAACAATTTGAATCCAGCTAGCATTTTTAGCCCCTCCAAAAAGTGCCTCAAAATTTGATTTATAATCCATTTCTCTTTAGGCAGCTCCAATAAGAATTTCTTGGGTAGTTCTTTGAATTAAGTTGTTCTTATTTGAGAGAATCATTAGGGTAGGTGGAAGTCATGGCCATAAAGTAAAAAAATATGAAGTAATAAGTGAGACCTATTAAGTCCTTTTAAGTGATTTCCTTATTGGGGGGTAAAACATTGTAGAAGTTCTTAAATTTGATGTTAGTATTTCTCAAAAAGAAAAATAAGAAGAAAAATTAAAATATATTTTTTTATAAGTTTAAATCAGTTTATATATAAATTAAAAATAAGATTTTAAAGAAGTTAAAAGGAAAAAATTTCTATAAAATAATTTATACATAAACTAATGAAAAAAAATGTATCTAAACAGATCCTATTACAATTAAGACTTACAAAAATGAGTTACTGAACCATAAGAAAGGGTGCACATGCTTAATATAAACTACAATTGTTATTTCCAATACAGGTTCAAGTAGGACACATAGGGAAGTACCAACACATGTGAATGTACTAAGGCATGATGAAGAAAAACAACTAGAATTAACAGCCTCAAAGTCCACCACTGAAAGGGATATTACCACACCAATCACCACAATTCCCAACTTGGTTCCCATCACTTCAACATCTCCAATCCTGAATCCTAATTCCAACCCAGATACAGTCTCTCCAGCCTCCACACTCCCAATCACCACTCCTTCCACACCAAATAATTCCTCATCAGGTGCAAGCTGGTGCACTGCAAGCCCAACAGCCTCACAGAGAGCATTGCAAGTGGCATTGGACTATGCTTGTGGATATGGTGCCACTGATTGTTCTGCAATTCAACCTGGTGGAAGCTGTTACTTCCCAAATTCTGTCAGAGACCATGCTTCTTATGCCTTCAATAAGTATTATCAGAAGAATCCTGTTCCTAATAGCTGCAACTTTGGTGGAGCTGCTGTCATCACTAGCACTAATCCAAGTAAGACTTTTACTGTTATTGTTTTGATGCTTAATGTTATCATTGGTGTCTAAACCAGAATTAGAGTCTCATATCTAATATAGTTAAATATGTTGAATAATATATAAAAGAAAAATTCCATAAAATTTAAAATTTTGAATTGAAATATAATATTAAGCTCACTAGTTGAAAGAGGTTACTTGGAGTCATTACCTTACTCCTTAGAAGAATAATGGACGTGTTTAGTTTGATTTTAATTTTTTATAACAAATAATTATGACTCTCTTTTTTTAAGTATAAAGTCTATACACTAATATTGTAAAGTGTTTTTCCATTGTCATTTATTTAATAACAATTTCTTATATATGATAAATTTATTAATTTTTATATTAATTAGTTTAAAAATCATATCTATTATGATTTTTTTCATTGATTGATAAAATAAGAATATTTATATTGATAATGCATGAAACAATTAAACTTTTTGATTTTTTTTATTCTCAAAGAGTTGCATGGAAAATGGTAAACACATTAAAAATGGTAAATTTATCATTTCCTGAAAGATGTTAAAAAAATAAGAAATAAAATAAAAATAAAGCAACATATTTGTAATTATATATAGGTAGAGAATGTTTTCTCTAGCTAGATAGGCCATGAACCACTTATTTGAAGGTTTAGGCTAGGTGACCACTTTTAATTCAAGAATATGAAACACAAATCAAAATGTACAAGCCAAGAAAACCAGCACTTTTACAACCCTTCTTCAAACCAAAGTGGAACACAGGCACAGTGACTTTGATTGGAGATAAGAAGTGTCCCTGGGGAGGATTCTTATTTCTTGGGTTTCATTATGCACAGACAGGAGAAAATAAAATAAGCTTTTACTGCATCTTTTTTTTTTATAAATGTTTTACTGCATCTTTGAATAGACCTTGAAAGTGCCTTGGGGGGATATACAGAAACTAAAAAAGTGCCACTGAGTGATGCCAGAAGTTAAGCTTTTTTACTTTTTCTACTTTATTAGAGGACATGTCTCAAAAGCATGTATAGATAATTTATCACAATTTGTCTTTTCAAAATATTGTGCATAAAATAACTAATCTGTATACTTTAATAAAGACCCTTGACTTAAAATCCGGTCTACTACATTAATTTATGATAATAGTGTGTGTTAGTAGCATTATCCTAATATTAATATTAACATGGTTAACTTAATCTTCTCTTCCCTCGATTTTTTTAATTTAACCCCTCTATTATTAAAAAGTTTAATTTTTTTTTAAAACATTGTAATATAATTGTTTTTTTTCAATTGGGACTAATAACATTAACATCCTGCACATGTGACACAATAAAAATAATGACAGTTATCGTTACATATATAAAAAAAAAAGGTTTAACACTTAATTTCAATTAGACATAAAAGACTACATTGTCTCATTTTAAAAAAAAATTAAAGGAGTAAATTAGATCTTTTAATAATAGAGGTAAATTGAAGATAACCTATTAATATCTATTTATGTATACTTTTATTTTCATAAAAAAAGAATCTTGGTTGGTTAAAAGGATTTAATTTATTAATGTGTTGCAGGTACTGGGGCATGTCAATATGCATCCACAAGGTGATCATCTTATACCATATCTTTTTTCTTTCTCTCCCGTGCCACAATTTGTAGCAGAAACTTACTGTCATAAAATGTGATGTTTAAAATTGCAGCATTAGTTCATCAGTCTTGAACACAACAAACACAAGTGGTGCAAATGTCTTTGGTTCAGTACCTGTACCTAAGAACCCCTCTGCCTCTGGTGGTGCTTCTACTACATCAACTAAACTTGTACAAGTTTGCCTCATTCTATGGCCATTAGCAATTTTGGAATTGAATTATCTCTAACATGAATGAAAGTTAGATTTTTCTTGGATCTGGTCTTTTATTTTATTTTATTTTGGGGTACTAGAAAAGCACATAGGTACAAAATCATCAATATGACATACATGATAGATCACTTTGTATAAAAGTAGCAATTATATAAAGGGTGTTAGCAGAGATTTATACCGTACATTACTTTTTCCACCTTTATAAGTTTAAAGTTTTTTTTTTTTTTCTGATATAAATGTTTATATTGCTTTCTCCCTGTTTCAGATTCTTTTAATAGATTGTACTGTATAATGTCTATACACGATGCACATTATTTCAGTATGCAATAATGGGATAGCAGATTACTTGTAGTTAGGGTTTGTACGATGCACATTATTTCACTATGCAATAATGGGTAGCAGATTGAATGCAGTTAGAGCATTTCAACGGGAGATGACGTCTTTTGGCAACTTTATCATTAAAAAAAAAAAATTATTTTAGACTTAGGGAAACTATTAAACAACTGTTACAAAATTAAGTAAAAATATATATATAGTTTATGAGTTTCTTAAATTCTTTTCTAGAGTTTCTTGCTAAAATTAGGAATGGGTTGTGTAGTAATGACTTTACAAAGTGAGATCACTAATAACATGATTATATGTATTAAGTGAGCTGACAAATATATTTTATTGTCAAAATATTTATTCACAATATTTAAACAAATTCTAAAGATATAATAGGAATATCTTATAATAGAATTGAGGTTATAAAACTAATAAGAAAAAAATTTAGAACTTAGAGTAGAAAAAAGAAGAAGAGGAGTGAGAGCGAAGAAAGAGAACTTTGTTTAGTGTCTCTTTTCCTTTTAGTAAACACGTCTATTTATAGGGAATTGAAATATTAAAAGGAAATAAAAGTCATTTAAAACGAATAATAAATAATAAAATTTTAACGGTTAAAAATTAAAAAAGTTATTAAAATGAAATATTATGAGTAATCAGCTTCAAAATATGCTAAAATCGTTATTTTTCAAGAGTCCTTTAACTTTGAAATTATTTAAAATAATGTGAAGAAAAAAAATAAAAGAACTTGAGGTTATGTGAAACTTCTTCCTTCTATAATACTTATTATACAACATGTGGAACTGTGGAACTCGTGAATTGCTTCCATTAAAATTGTCCTTAAGCTTTGCTTGGTTGAAATGAGAATGAATTGGAAAAAATGAAACAATAATTTTTTTTGTTCCTAGTTTTGGCACATTTTGTTTGGAAAGAAAACAAAAATTTTCTTAATTAGGAAAGCAAGTGCGAGAGAAAAAATTGTTAAAATGACCCATTTACTTTTTACTCGATAACATATTTAAAATGACATAAAAAATTATTTAATAGTTACATTTTTATTTTTCTTCCTTTTTTTTATCTAACTTAATAGATTCTAAAAAGTTTATCTTATTTATTCCTTTCTTTTTTTATTTTCTCATCATGTAGGCAATAGAAAGAAGAAGAAAAAACTTTTCATCCCCTAATTATTTATCCATTACCCAAATGAGTATTTGTTTCAATTTTTTTTTTTGACAATCCACTGATACCAAGAAAACAATTCGAATAGAATCAATCCAATATCTTGTTTATCTGCTGTAGTTGTTTATCATACAATAGAAAAAAAATATTAGTAGCACATTCTTTAATATATTTTTATTGTTGGTTGAAATTTATTATAAATTACAAAATTTTATGAATAACTTCTAATTTAATGAACGGACTTCACTCATAACTATTTTTTTAATAAATTTTAACAAATATGAAAATCCTGTTAAAAAAAGAAGAATATATTGCTAACTCCCTTCTTCTATTGTATTTTCAATTTTCATTTCCTTGTTATATATATGAAGGAAATTATATGTTTAAAGACTAAAAATTAAAAATTAGTGTAACCCACTTCGAAACGGCCAAACAAATAACAATGAGGGTTTGTGTAGTTTTCGTAAATTCATAAATTAAATTTCACTATTGCAATTGTAATTAAAAATTTAAATATTGATGTTCAATTATTTAGCCATCTAATTTAATATAACTGCTAGGATCACGGAGTCCCATTTGTTTATTCTTTTTCATTCTACTTTTATGTGAATAAATAAACTGTTTTATTGCTTGCTTTTCCTTTTCTAACTACTTTTTATTTCCAAAACAATAGAGGTTTTGTCCATAAAGTGAGTGGAAAGAAAAAGGAACGAAATGGTTTCTTTTGATCAATGCAAAGACAAAACAATAAATGAAAGACATATTTTATAAAAGAAAGAAGCAAAAGTGCTCGAAATGTTCTCTAATATAATGTTCTAATATAGGTATTAGGTATATATAATTGTGTTTTATAAAAGAAAATAATAATAATTGTGTGTGATACATTCTATAGCTTTTTCTCTCCCTAAAATTACGGGTATAATTAATTAATAATAACAATTACTTTCACTTCCACTACTCATGTCTTGTCACATTAGACAAATCTAAAATATTTCCATCACTACTTTATATAGTAGGAGTAAACAAAATTGCTGTTTATTAATTTCTCCCAATATTTATTTTTTAATAGATATATAAACATAATTTTACGTATTTTGTCAAAGCTAATAATTAAAAATCAAACTATTAAATTATAAATATAATATTATATATTGTCAATATGATGCAACGTATTATTCTAAATTGTTTCCTAATATAAAACGTAGTACCATTAGTATAAATATGTATTAATTTTACATGATTAAATATATTTTTAATTCTTAAATTTTTGTCAATTTTTATTTAATGTTAATTTTTTTTAATTTAATTTTAGTCTCTAAAATATTTTTCAATGAATAAAAAATCTTTACAAAATGTTAACAAAAGAAAAAGTTCATGAACTAAAACTGAAAATTTACAAAATTTAAACAATTAAAACTAGTTAATAATTTATTTATAGATTAAAAGTGAAAATTGAAAAAAAATTTAAAAGTTTAAAATACATTTAATTTATATCTATATAACAATTCGACAAGATTTTGTTTTAAAAAATTATATTAATTAGGATAAATTTAATGACTAATATTTTTTATTAGTGTATAAAATTTATTTATTTATTTGCAATGTGTGCATTACCGATTTTTACGAGAAACAAGACAAAAGCTAAGGAGATAGGATATAAAGTCTTCCACCATGGAGACAACTTTTGAACTGTTGATGGCTAAGATTTTTTTTCTTTTCTAGTTCTCTATTTTTCATAGATCAGATAAAAAGCTTTTTCAGTGAGAGTTTTTTTTTTTTTTTTTTTTTTTCCTTTCATTGGGTTGCCATTCTCAGCCTCTAAATTTTTCCCTACGAAAATAAAAATTTACCATTGAGTGTATGAATCAACTAGTATTTATTTATTTGGTGATTTTAGTTCAACTGATTGTGTCTGATTTAAATTATAAATATATAATTGTGTTAAATATTTTAAAAGATAACTATAACATCTATAATAATTTTACTATACTCATGTGTAATTGTTTTTCTTAAAAAATATGTTGGATCGAGCGCTTACTACTAGGCCAAAAATTATAGCTGATAGTCAGGGCGTAACTCTTTTTACTTAAGAGCGCAGCAGCCCAAGCGCCATGATTCGATAGTGACTTGGCCTACCTAGCCTCCGCCACGGGACAATTGATGCAACCCGCAACAATCTCCCCCTCAGCAATTACCCCGCTGGGTATCGAACTCATGACCTTGGCTCTGATACCAATTGTTAGTCAAGTAGCCTCGTATAACTTAAGAGGGGGGTGAATTAAATTATCTAATTTTTCTTCTTTTTTTAAATTTTTCTAACTTCTTTCTTATAAATTCAATATCATAAACAATTTGAATGTAATGATGCAAAAACTTCACAATCAAAATTAAAAGTATAGGGAAAGAGAATTGCAAACTTGATTTTATACTGGTTCGGTCAACCTTGCCTACATCCAGTCCTCAAGTCTTCCACTTAAGATTTTTCACTATGCTTGTAACCTTTACAAGACTCAAATTCTCCAACAAAATACATGTCATCTATACTAATATAAAAAAACTCAAATACACACATAACATATATAATATTCTCTTAGTAGAAGATAACCTAATAAACCGACCAATATGATCGAATTTGTCACAAATAAATTATAGATCTTCTGGTATAAGTTGAATGACTTGTAAACACAATGCTTGTGAGAATTGCTATTAAGTCAACACATATGACTTTTTCCTCCTAAAGGTATTCTCAATTACACATGTCCATTTGATATAACATAAAACTGTGGGGACTACATGTTGGAGTAATTATATCTATTGATCCAATAACCTAAGCAACAAGGTCTATACAATAAAGAAATTAGAGTGTTGAATAATTCTTCTATCACTCTCTTGAGCCATATATAGTTGTATATACACTCTCAACATTTCTTTAAAATGCATAGATAATAAGCAATTTTGTTGGCTGTGATTTAATGATAGGTCATATCCAAACCATGTTTGGTCTTAGCAAAGGAATCGGGTTACCCATTTGCTTTTTGGTAACATTCCAAAAAAGGGTCAAAGCACTTTCCGAAAGACACCATGTCGGCTAATTAGTGATTCTGCAATGATTATTCCTTGATACGATAACGACCCTTTGAATAAGATTAGAAATTATCAAATCACAAAACTAAGTATAACTACATATGTTTCATCGGTGTTGGTATTCAACCATAATTTAAGATTCATCTTAATGATGTATATTTATATTTAATATAAATCTAATTTATATATTTAGAACAACTTCAATGGGAGTTGTTTGTCCCATGAAGCAACTCAAGCCCCAATTTTTTATCATTAGAGGACTTTGACGTTGCAATATGAGTTGCTTAAAGAAGAAAGAGTTGCTTCCTCAAGCAACCATTCCTTACCAGATTTCAAGCAAATCTTATTGAACATATTTGGGAACGTTTCGAAAATAATAATGATAAAAATTAATTTCGTATAATGTCTATGTATTTATTATTTTATTTTATTTTTAATATCTACTTATTGTGTATTTTTTCTCGTAATTTATTTTCTTTCATTATAGTGCAATTACTCTTTTTAATAAAAAATTAAAATTGGTTCATAAATTATTAGAAAAAAAATTCTAAAAATTGAATTTCTTAAAGTTTCTTACCATTGTAGTAAATTTGTGTTTGAGTTGCTTAATACTGACATGGTACACTCGGGACCACGTT